GAGTTCCAACTCCCCGTCAGTCAGAAAGCTTTGCTCTTCTAGATGACTGCCAAAGTCTCAGTGTTCATTAAAAAAAAAAAAAAAGAAAAAACCCCAAGCCGCTGTGGGGGTAGCTGACAGCTCTACGGAAAAGACCCGCCCCTGTGGAAACGAGACTCTGATCTTTCTCAGGTTCCAGCTGGTGAGAAAAAGTAGGAACAGTTCACTTGCAGGTCTTGTCACGGTCACATCTTAAGACCCTCCTGCTCTAACTTCTCGTGCTAAAACCCAACCACACAGCTGCAGCCCAAAGGCCTGTTTCCCACTTTACAGCCATCTGCCGAGCAGCAGGTGGACGGGACCGCTCCGGGCCTCGCTGCGCTCCGACCTGGTCCAGTGGTTACTGGCATCTGAAGTTTTTTGCCTACTGGGAAATTAAAGTAGCGTGGAAATCAATGTTTCACTTGGAAAGAAAAAGGGTTTGGATCACCAGACAGCGATGCCTTGCTTCCCGGACCAGACAGTTCTTCAAAGCACTCTTCGCTAAGTACATTCCGACAGACAGGCCCAGAGGACTTGGATGCGGGCAGCCGCTGGAATCAAGAGCAAACTCCGGCTTGTTAAGGAGCTTTGGCTACTCAGAGACTTTCCACTTCCGAGGCTGAGAAAGAATCGAAGAGGAACTATCATCAACGACTCTCAGTTTTGAATATTTCCCAAGTGCCTTGCACCATGAAGAGTCCCCCAGGCCAAGGGTTCCACTGGCCAGGAGTGAAAACAGAGAAACTCAAACCTGTGGCTGTGGCTGTGGCTGTGGCTGTGGCTGGCCCGGCTGCACCGGCTCCACAGCTCCGCTTCCAACAAGCAGCACGGAGCCGTGGAAAAGTTCAAGCTCTGCACACGAGTTGCTTGGCACCACTTCAAGGCACAGCGAGTTCTGTCTAACTTGGGTGTATCTGGGACAGAACGCAGCTGCCTGTGAGTTCAACCTGTGTTGATACAAAGAGGAGAGAGAAACAAACATGTTGGTGTTTTGACCCCCGGCTCAGGGTTGTGCTTTAACAACCAAGGAGCTTCCGAGACCCCAGCAAGTCCATGAAGTTGGCACTGGGTTCAGTGCCCCTCTTCCATAGCGTAGTCCCGCTGCTTTTCTAGGTTAAAATAAACCTGCACAACTTTTGTAAATGAACAGGCAAGCTAGTGGGGACAGAGCCTTGACTCCAGTGAAAAAGAAGACAAAACAAAAAGCCACTAGACATTTCTAGGACTATCATGTCCCAAATCTTACCCATATAATGAAGAGGCATAGTGCCCACTACTCAAGCACTGTAGCATCCTCCAGAGACCCCCTGCCAGCGTATGCCCCCTGATGAGACGCCTTAGGAAGTACACATTACCAGTGTCGCCTTGTGGCCCAAAACGTATACCTGAATCAAAGGCTGAGGAAGCAACCAGAAAATCCCACAATAAGGGACGCATTTTTCTCTTTACAAACCCTCGTGTTGAGACTGATTCTCAGTGGAAGGCAGTGAGGGAGCTGCTCTGCCACACAGGAAACCCTGGCTGGGCAGCCAGATACCCATCAGCCACCTTGCGCTGGGTTCCCACCGACGCAGGGGCAGGACAGGCGAGAGGGCGGCCCCCTTTCAGGCTACGCCCTGGTCCTTGGGATGACACCATAAGGACATTCCACAAGACAGCCGCCTTGCCTTCTTCAAAAAAGCCATGGCATTAAAATGAAAAAACTATTCTATATTTGAAACCTAACCAGCCAAATGCAATGTATAAAACATGAACTGGATCTTGTATCCAATAACAAATGGGGATCATATGAAAGGTATCTTTCAGGCAGTTGGTAAACAGCACTGGCCCCGACAGCGGTTTTTGAATGACTATCAAATTATACAGTTTTGGGGGCTGGTGCTGTGGCATAACAGGTAAAGCCGCCACCAGTGACACTGGCATCCCATATGGGCACAGGTTTGAGTCCTGGCTGCTCCATTTCTGATCCAGGTCCTTGCTAATGTGCCTGGGGAAACAGTACATGGGGCTGGGAAACCAAGTGCTTGGGCCCTGTACCCACGTGGGAGACCCAGAAGCTTCTGGCTCCTGGCTGTGCTCTGTCCCAGCCCCAGCTGATGTGGCCATTTGGGGAATGAACCAATGGATGGAAGATCTCTCTCTCCAATTCTGCCTTTTAAATAAATAAACCTTTTATAGCCGGCGCCGCGGCTCACTAGGCTAATCCTCCGCCTAGCGGCGCCGGCACACCAGGTTCTAGTCCCGGTCTGGGCGCCGGATTCTGTCCCGGTTGCCCCTCTTCCAGGCCAGCTCTCTGCTGTGGCCAGGGAGTGCAGTGGAGGATGGCCCAGGTGCTTGGGCCCTGCACCCCATGGGAGACCAGGAAAAGCACCTGGCTCCTGGCTCCTGCCATCGGATCAGCGCGGTGCAACGGCCGCAGCGCGCCGGCCGCGGCGGCCATTGGAGGGTGAACCAACGGCAAAGGAAGACCTTTCTCTCTGTCTCTCTCTCTCACTGTCCACTCTGCCTGTCAAAAATAAATAAATAAATAAATAAACCTTTTAAAAATTTTTACAGTTTTGGGTACGGCACTTTTTCTTAAAAAAAGGGTAGACTTGATATTTATCGTCATTTATAATCAGATGGCAGTTGGGTGCATAGTTTCCATATTTACTTTTTGTAAATAAAAAAATTTGCAAGTCTTAAACAGCTGAAGGCTGGTTGTTTTCAGAAAACATGAATAATTCATTAATGGTGGCTTCAAGCTTATTAGCTCCAAAAAATTCACCCACTTTTTGCCTCTTTTTAAAAACCTGGGGTGGCTGTCACTATGGCATAGCTGGTAAAGCTAATGCCTGCAATATTGGCATCCCATGAGTGCCGGTTCGAGTCCCGGCTGCTCTACTTCCAATCGACCTCTGTGCTAATGGCCTGGGGAAAGCAGAAGATGGTCCAAGTTCTTGAGCCCCTATACCCACATGGGAGACTCAGAAGAAGCTCCAGGCTCCTGGTTTGGATTGGCACAGCTCCAGCCATTGTGGTCATTTGGGCAATGAACCAGCGGATGGAAGAACCCTCCTCTTTCCCTTTGCCTTTCAAATAAATAAATAAATCTTAAAAAAAAAAAAAAAAAAAAAAAAAAAAAAACCTGGAAGGCTGGCCTGCATTTGACTGCACATTCTGCAGCTGTATCCCAATAGTCAACCACCTCTACTTCAAGGAACAACACGTTGGAATACTTTTCAGAGAAGGAATAAAAGAAAGGTTTGGGGCCGGCGCTGTGGTGTAGCAGGTAAAGCCACCGCCTGTAGTGCTGGCATCCCATATAGGTGTTGGTTCAAGTCCCAGCTGCTCCACTTCCGATCCAGCTCTCTGCTATGGCCTGGGAAAGCAGTGGAAGATGGCCCATGCCCCTGCACCTGTGTTTTAAGACCTGGAAGTTCCTGGCTCCTGATCAGCACAGCTCTGGCGGTTGCGGCCAACTGGGGAGTGAACCAGTGGAAGAAAGACCTCTCTCTTTCTCTGCCTCTCCTTCTCTCTCTCTGAAACTTTCAAATAAATCAATAAATCTTAAAAAAAAAAAATAAAGAAAAGAAGTGTGTGACTTAGGTGACCAGAACATACGTGGATGCTTTAAGAAGTAAGTTGGCCTTTCAACACAGAGTTCTCTTTAAAAAAAAAAAAAAAAAAAGGTTTGATCATTTTGCAGGGTCTATACCACATGGCTGAGAACTTACCCACGACACGTTTATCTCCTGCAGTGTCCAAGACTTCTTGAAAAGCAGACTTGCAGTCCACCTGCTCCACCATTTTGGCTGTTGGTGGCGGTGATGGGTCTGAGGAGCGACCTTAAGAAGAGATGGGAGCAGACCCGAAGCGCTGGACAGAGCCTGTGAGCACTGCGTGTTCTTTGTACACCATCTCCTTCTCCACAGGCTGTCACTGAGTGAGCACTTCCATCAGAACCCCCATTTTACTGTAGCTCATTGACACACCTTGTGTTTCTACTGAAATGTAAAACTTCCGAGGGCCGGTGCCCCGTTCTAACCTCAGCACATGAACACAGCTCTGAGGCACAACCCTGGAACTCAACAACTACTCGCTAAAGAGAGAACTGGGTAAAATAAAGGTCTAAAACGAAGACTTTTTTTTTCCATGAGAAACTACACAAGAGTATTTTAGCATGTAATGATGTGGCTTCTCTCATCTGGCTGGGAGGAGAGAGAGGGAGGAGGAACCAAGTTACAATGAAATGAAATGCACCCGTGGCCACGTGGGTCTCTGTCCGAGGGCCAGAGTAAGGCTCTGGAACAAGGCATATATTTAAGGAACAGAAGAGATCACCAGGTTGGATCAGGAGCCACAATTCAACAAGAGGCCTCGCTGAACTGTCAGTCCAAAATTTAGTATGTTTGCTGTAAAGTTGTGTTACTGACTAGAATTCTGTAAATAAGTTAAGTATATTTTGTCTTAATTGAGCACTTAAAAATTCAAGATACACGATTTATTTTTCTGAGTTGTTTACAAAGCCCATTTTAACCTACAAGTTTGTATAAAATGAACCAACTCTTCCCGTGAGATAAGCTTGCCTTGTATTTATTTGGCAAGCTAGTTACTTCAGTGATATTTGTTATGGCACCATAATGAAATCTGTCAGAAAAGAGAAGGGTTGAGTATTTTATAATAACTGGAAAACTGGAAAATGAGAATTTCTGATAACACTAATGAGGACAGTGCTTCAGATGAAAACTAATACAGTCGACAGGAAGAAACCGTTCTCCTTAGGTCAGCCTTGAGGACTGAGGAGTAACGAAGGTGTTTGAAATAAGGGACATTCGGAGGGTGGTGAGGGTTTGCTACTGCAGCCTTGCCACCGACTGGCACAGGACCAAAGCCAGAGTACGAAAGAAAACTTCCTTTTGTAATTCACTAGGCAATTTTTAGGAACTAATCTTGTGTGTGTGGTGAGGAACAAGAAAAACAATCAGACAAATCATAGATGAGATATCTTTGGAAAATTTAATTTGGACCATATTTTCTTTCTCTTGCTGAAAACATCAAATATCCCCCACACATTTTGGGCTCCACAGCTTACAAAGCGGCAGTGGTGTCCCACAGTCACATACTGTACCCAACTTTCTATAGAAAGATAAGACATTTTCCAACCTTGCTTTTGAGTATTTCCTAAAAAATGCTTTAAAGGTTCCTTACAATAAATGGCAAGTAAAACAAAGTAAGGCTTGATGTTCTCCTTGTCCCTGTTTGGGTACTGCGTGTTGGAGGATTAAGGAAGACTAGTTATGTCAGTGTTGGTACCCTGGGGATGGCTGCAGGGTCCTCCAAGGTGCACCTGTGCACCGAGGAACCTGAGATGCTGGCAAGCACGGAGCAATCTGTCACAGCCCTGTGGGGCCTGCGTGGCGAAGGGCGGGCTGGCAGCTGCGGTTCTCAGCTCTCACAGGGCTGCTAGCCGCCACGGCCAGAGATCTCCCACCTGGCACTGCGGTACCACACACTCACTTCTGTGGGCCTTACTATGCACAGTCACAGACTAAATGAATTTGCTGAAGATAAAATGAGGAAAAAATGCCTTTACTAATTCCTGTATCAAATGACTAGACTGAAAATAAAAGCTTCTGTCGGATAAAACATGTTCTCTATGTTGGATGAAAACCACTCTCTTGCAAGATAATCTTAGTAATGTCTATTTGTCACTATCCACATATTTTTGCCTGATGCACACATTTCTCTGACTGCACCATCTGAACAGCTCTGTCATTTTTCAAACTTGTGTTTCTTTAGTTTAAAAGCAGGATAAGGCAGCCAAATGTAACTAATGTTGGTTGCAGGCAAACATCGCAGACATTAACCTTCCTCTTCTCAAGTGTTAAGAGTGCATGATTAAATGGTGACCAGGCAGCTTCTTCTCTCGGCTGGAAAGGAAGCAGCTACTGTCACCAACTGTACCTCTAGCAAACACAGGCCCCTCATAAATATAAAATTAAATTCTTCTGAGGAATAGGTTTGTGATTTTAGTTATGCACGATTTATACTTATTCTTTATATTTTGTCATAAAAAAAAGACCATGTGGTCTTCGTTTCATTATTTTCATATATGGGCATTTCTTCATCTCAGCAGGTTCTCACATGGAGCTGGCAGGCTGTGTCACTCAGCGTGAGCAAGAAAGGGGAGGCAGCCACGCGCAGTGTGCTCTCAGAATCCCTGTAGAAACTCCTGCAGCTGGGTGACAATCTCTGTGTCCACCGTCTCCATGAGGGACTGGAAGCCCTGTTCCCCCAGTAACTCCTGCTGGGCCTTGAGCTTCTCGTAGATGAACTGCTGCAGTGACACCGTGTGCACAGGGTCCTTCAGGGCCAGCTGCGGGAAGGAGAGGGCATGTCAGAGAGCAAAGTGAGCTCCCCCACGTGTGATTCCCCAGGGCTCGTCACAGTGTCGTCCACCATAACAATGGACCTTCTTACAATGGATTCTAAAATAGTCTGACGGTCAAAAATCTGGACAGAAAAGAAAGTCATTCAATCAGTTAGTCTAACGTCAAGTCCACAGGCCCCTCTGATGGCCACTGAGAACTCAGGTTCTCAAGAACTGAGGGTCTATTCCCTTAGTATCCTAAAAGGGACAGCCGACACCAAGAAAGCCGGAGACCCCAGTGCCCAGGATCCTCCTCAGGGTGGACAGGGGCCGCCATGTGCTCAGTCCTCAACAGCTCTGCCACTTAATCCACCTACATAATTCTAGTTGGGGGAAAAATGTATGAATTCAAAAACAAATGAAAATAAATAAAAAAGCAATTACAAAAATCTTATTCCTCTCCCTCACTGAGGTATCTAGAAAACAAAAGAAATGCAATTAAATAAAAAGTAATCTGTAATTCTATGCCCTTAATGATAGCAGTAACCACAGAAAATATTTCAGTCTTGTAGGCTTTTCCATTGCCTTCGGTCTTGTATGCTTTTCCATTGCCTGGAAACACACACACAATTAGTTCTGCTCTTTTTCTAACGTATTGTAAGAATTTTCAACCTATGCCCTAATGTTTTTCAACATAGGCAAGTTAAAGTGGAGGCAGGATATACACAACTTCGTGATTTTGCTGGAGAGTCTATCACAGACCCTGTCCACGGTTCCACGCATACGGTCTTTCCTACACAACACTGATTATTTTCTTAGGACACCTGTATGTATTTCAGAAGAATTACTGGATTAACAGGCACAATTTTCTCATTCCTGATACATATCAGCTTGTTTTCCTGGATTTATGGTTTAGAGTAATTTAAAAAGTGTAAGTTTTCATCTTCTGATGCTGTTACCATTGTTACTATCATTATTTAAAGGATTTATAATTTAATAATAGAGAAAACAATCAACATTGCCGAAAGCTACGTTTACTTCATTATCAATAAAACTGAACATCTGCCTGGCTTTACTGTGCTTGTGCCCAATACAGAAATCCTTTCCTCTCCTTAATGAGACTGCATTCTGTCCTAGGCAGATGGAGGAGCTGAATCACAACTGCACCTGCTGTTTGAGCAGTCCTGCTAAGGTGATGGAAGACTTCTGTTTCTCTCTCTCTCTCTCTCTTTCAAATAAATAAAGTAAATCTCAAAAATATCATTACCGGAAATGGAAAATGCCAACTGAGGCAGCAACAGAGGTGTCATTATTTGAAGTTAATCCCTAAATATGACCATTCCAGGAGTAGATGAGAAATCCAAAGTAAAAGGTAGTTTCAGGGGCTGTGGCACAGTAGGTTAATCCTCTGCCTGCAGCACCAGCATCCCATATGGGCACCGGTTCTAGACCCGGCTGCTCCTCTTGCAATCCAGCTCTCTGCTATGGCCTGGGAAAGCAGCAGAAGATGGCTCCTTGGGCCTGTGCACCTGTGTGGGAGACCAGAAGAAGCTCCAGGCTCCTGGCTCCAGATCAGTGCATCACCGACCACTGCGGCCATTTGGGGAGTGAACTAGCAGACAGAAGACCTCTCTCTCTCTCTCTCTCCCTCTGCCTCTCACTGTCTGTAACTCTACCTCTCAAATAAATAAATAAAATCTTAAAAAGAAAAAAAGAAAGGTAGTTTCAGTACTCATTTCCCCAGAAAGCAGTAGCATAGCTAGTTAACACCAGGAAGACTGCACACACAAAGGCCCACATCCACAGCCTGCAGACGGCATCTGGAACTGAAGGTGAGCTTTTTTTTTTTTTTAATTATTTTTTTTTTTAATTTTTTTGACAGGCAGAGTGGACAGTGAGAGAGAGAGACAGAGAGAAAGGTCTTCCTTTGCCGTTGGTTCACCCTCCAATGGCCGCCATGGCCGGCCTGCTGCGGCCGGCACACAGTGCTGATCCGATGGCAGGAGCCAGGTACTTTTCCTGGTCTCCCATGGGGTGCAGGGCCCAAGCACTTGGGCCATCCTCCACTGCACTCCCTGGGTACAGCAGAGAGCTGGCCTGGAAGAGGGGCAACCGGGACAGAATCCGGCGTCCCGATCGGGACTAGAACCTGGTGTGCCGGCGCCGCAAGGCGGAGGATTAGCCTAGTGAGCCGCGGCGCCGGCTGAAGGTGAGCTTTAAAGATATTTGTCTTCAGGGGCTGATACTTGGTTCAAGACCCAGCTGCTCCGCTTCCGATTCAGCTCTCTGCTATGGGCTGGGAAAGCAGTAGAAGATGGCCCAGTGCTTGCAGCCCTGCATCCACGTGGGAGACCCGGAGGAAGCTCCTGGCTTTGGATCGGTGCAACTCTGGCCATTGTGGCCATTTGGGGAGTGAACCAGTGGATGGAAGACCTCTCTTTCTCTCTGCCTCTCCTTCTCTCATATAACTCTGACTTTCAAATAAATAAACCTTTAAAAAACATGTGTCCTCTTAAGCAACATGCAATAATGTGATTTTGTTCTAATTACTAAGAAGGTGGTATGCTTTGTGCATTATCTGTTACAGAAACCATCTGTTCTCATATCAGTGAAAAGCAGTAAGTTTAAAATGGTAGTTCACGGCCAGCACCGTGGCTCACTTGGTTAATCCTCCAACTGCCACGCCAGCATCTCATACGGGCTCTAGGTTCTAGTCCCGGCTGCTCCTCTTCCAGTCCAGCTCTCTGTTGTGGCCCGGGAGTGCAGTGGAGGATGGCCCAGGTCCTTGGGCCCTGCACCCGCATGGGAGACCAGGAGGAAGCACCTGGCTCCTGGCTTTGGATGGGCGCAGCGCGCCGGCCATAGTGGCCATTTTGGGGGTGAGCCAATGGAAAAGGAAGACCTTTCTGTCTGTCTCTCTCTCTCACTGTCTAACTTTCCCTGTCAAAAAAAATATTTCCTAAAAAACAAACATTTCTCAAGTCAAAAAACAGCTGTTAGCAAATAAACATCTCTTCTGACTGTGGTAGACATTCATTAATCATAGGCACTAACATTTTTTTAAAGAAATATGTAAAATCGAAATATGTTAAAAAAAAATTCTCCAGAGAAGAATCAGTGCTGCATATCCACTAAAAATCCAGACACCAATTCTCTGACAGAAGTAGGGCTACAGTCACCAGTGTGAAGAGACAATGAAGTCACTGATGGCATCCTCGGAGAATGACAGCCTAATTACAATACACCTAATGGCCTGAGTTAGTGCGAAAAAACAGAGTGCCTGTCCGGTTCACCAAGTTGCATGTTCTGGAGAAAAAACTTCCCAATGTAATAAGTAAAGTCTAAATCTGGTGTTGGAACAAATTTGCTACAAAGGCAGATGTGATGGAGAACAGAGCAAAATATTTCTTCAGATCCCAAGATATTGTACTTGAGAGAGAGAGAGAGAGAGAGAGAGAGTATCTGTTTCTGAAAGATGGTGAGAAGGTGGAAAGCTGAGGCTTCAGTGCCTAAGAACCACACAGTGATGAGTCCCCTGGCTTTCTTCTTACCACAACATTGCAGAGTTGGAGCTAAGGAGGCCAGCAACTGGGAAAGGCCATCCCACACAGACAAAAACAAAACCAAACCAAACCCACCAAAGCCTACACACCGTAAAACCTTTAGGGAATAACTGTTCTACTATAGTTAGATTCCACAAAAGCACCCTTACTCACAACAGCCCTACCCTTGCCCAACAGTGTCAGGGGGCCCAGGCTCTCCTCCCTTACCCAAGGTGGTATCACTGGGGACCAGCAAGGAACCAGTCCTCTAACACCCTCTGGCACTGCCTCTTCCCTGGCCAGAGCAGAGTCAGAAGTCAACTAATACAAAACGTTTAAAAGAGATCCAAAGTCTAGGGGGCCGGCGCCGCGGCTCAATAGGCTAATCCTCCACCTGCGGCGCTGCCACCCCGGGTTCTAGTCCCGGTTGGGGCGCCGGTTCTGTCCCGGTTGCTCCTCTTCCAGTCCAGCTCTCTGCTGTGGCCTGGGAAGGCAGTGGAGGATGGCCCAAGTGCTTGGGCCCTGCACCCACATGGGAGACCAGGAAGAAGCACCTGGTTCCTGGCTTTGGATCGGCACAGAACGCCGGCCATGGCGGCCATTTGGGGGATGAACCAACAGAAGGAAGACCTTTCTCTCTGTTTCTCTCTCTCACTGTATGCAACTCTGTCAAATAAATTAAAAGAGAGAGAGAGATCCAGAGAGAGAGAGAGAGATCCAGAGTCTCATAAAATAACACAAAAAGTATCTGGTTTTCATTTGTATTTGGTATTCATTTGTATTTCACTAGATACACCAAAAAGAGAGGGAGGGGGGCTTAAGTACAAAAGTGGAACGTGAGGATTCCTAGGTGATGGCACTGTTCTGTATTGTGCCTCTTAAGGCCAGACTACACATCCTGATAATTTTGCAAGATGTATCACTGGGGTAAACTGAGGAAAGACCAAACAACATCTCTGTATTATTTCTATAAATGTATCTGGAACTACAATTATCTCAAAATAAAAAGGTTAATTACGAAAAGTTAAATGTGACTTGTGGAGTCTCTCTTCTGCTGAATTAGCCACTGGGGTATCAGGGCATCCAACTCCTGAGTATTTGGAACTTGAAACAGAAAAAACAATACAAATAGACCAGTTATCTTAGCAGACTAACTGTGGATTAGATCTCCAAACTAGGGGATCAGATTCTTGTATTACAGAGAAGCCCCCCCCCCCACCAAAAAAAACTACACTATAACTTCTATATCACTTCCATCTGCCTCAAAATCCTACTCAATAATTAAATCCCTTAACACCCATCCCAATTTTCATTTCATTTCCTACAGAGCACCCAGGGATGCTTGGCCCACCAAGCTTTTTAAAAGTTATTTTTCTTTTCCCAGACACTTTTAACAAAGCCTGCAACTTTGCTATAATAGTGATTTATTAGTTCTAAAAGATTTTTGTGTGTGTGAATTCCTAA